AATTAATTCACCCAGTGTTATAACCCTTCTGTTATAGCCTCTGTTATGCATGACAAACAAATAGAATGATTCCAGGGCAAACACTACAGAAAATTATATATTTGCTCAAGCAAACAAAAGGAAAAGTAGAACATTTTTTGGGAGATTATCAAATGCAATACATATTTTGCTGATTTTATGTAATTAAATCCATTCCATCCTGAAGTGTCATGAGACTTATCTAGGCATACAGARAATGGATATTATCAATTTTAAACCAGGGATGACTTTTATTGTTATAACTCATGGCAAAATAGAGAAAAAGCTCCACAATTATTATAAAGAAAGGGATCATATGTCATTTCATGTCTTTTCTATGTTGACACAGAAATATGTACCATAAGCCATTCTTAAATTGACTCAGTGCTTTGGTATCTRAAAGCTTCTTGTTCTCTTATTGTGGAAAGCTACTGGTATGAAAATTTTTGAGTTCATGGGAAGACTGAATRTTTGCAGTTCTGGCTCAGGCATTTCCAAATTTGCATATTTTGAGGAAGTGMAAACTTATGGTTGTTTTTTCTCTATGATCCATCACTGGTCCTTGCTGGCAGCAGCCTATTAGGTAAAGCAATAAGAGCCATAATGGGGTGTTCCTACAGTTTACAGTCTTCATTATTTTAAAAAGTGATGATTAGTTCAAATAGAAGAAAACTGAAATCAATTTATTAATTTCCCTTATATCACCATTTATCTTCTTTTGTTGGATAAGAAYAGAACCAGGATTGTACTCATTTCAGAATATTTAAGAATCAAAAGAGAAAATTTTCCCAGCCTAAGAGCTGTGCTAAAGCTAAGCATTTATTTGATGAGAGATGCTTATTATAATCACTTTTTAACAATTTGCTCAGCAATTAAAATCAATCATGCTGTTTAATTTCTCTTAATTCGGATACTTCAGATATACATTTTATATGAAAGTCTTCCTTCAAAACTTGATTAGCTGTTTTTAATAATCTCCATTACGCCTGAATCCTCCAACACACATAATTTTACTATTTTTTTCCCCTCATATCTATTTTTATTTCAGTTAAATCACAGGTCTCAAGATGTACAGTATATATTATGCTCTCCTCTGTGTATTTTTAATTTATCTCTCTTCACAGTCTAGCCCAGCTCTCTGGACCACCAAAGCTGTATAAATGTCAGTTAAACCAGTTTTATGTTTGTGAACTGGAATAATCTCAGTCTGTTTGCACAGATCCCGTTATTTTAGCTTTAATGCTAAGATGCCACTGAAATTCCATACTGATAGCTTTGGTAGTGCATAACTTATTAATTGCAATTCCTCTTTTTCCACTGAACTTAATGAATCCTCTAACACTAAATTCGAGGTAACACTAAATTTATCACCACACTCAGCTASGCCTTTGAAAGCCAAGTCTGAATTTCAATTTCATGCTCAATCACTGCAGTCACACAATTGGGTAAGACAGTGGAAGGGCTGAAAACTCCTCTCAGATGTCTTCCGTCTCACGTTGCAGTGATGCAGATCTCACGAGAGTGGTCTGGCTCCTGCAAGTCCTGGCCACTACTGATCTTGTCAGGTCGGAATACAGGAGTGTGAGAATTCTGGTCTCAGCTTTTGATGAAAGCATGAGCCTGTACTGTATAAAAGGCTAGAGACAGAACAATTTATAGTTGCAGAATTAAGGGACATATTTCCATGGTACTGTGATTCGAAGAAGAAAAAAAGAAAAAAAGAAAAGAAAGAAAAAAAAAAAGAAAAATAAAAGAAAAATAAAAGGCTTAAACTGAAAATGAAACAGCTGAAGCATATGAAATGTAAACTGTTAAGTAAGCTTTTATTTCAATAATAAAATTCAATTTTTTCATTTTCTGACCTTTTCCCATCCATGCTTGATAATCTCTTGGAGAGCATTAGAGAAGGCAAAGGTTATAAGATTTAACTGATACACARTATTACAGCTGTTAAAACCCTTGAATTGCTTCCTTTAGAAAGATGCACAAAAAAGGAAAATGAAGAACTGCAAATATTTTTTTTTTTTTTTAATTCATCTGTCTTTTATCTCCAGGGCTTTTTGCTACTTGCAGCTTGAAACACAGAATAGGCAAGCAGTCTAAGCAATCCCTTCAGGTCCTAATACACCCACATGACATAGTTTAGGATATTGTTTACTCATRTCAAGCCCAAACTTCCAGTTATCAGCAGCTATGGCACATGTTTTTGAAACAGAAGGCAAAAACAGATGGAAAGAATGAGAATCTCAAAACAGATAAAATCTATTTGTCTTTAGCTAATTGGAACAATACAGACTTTTCCCCAACAGTGCCAGAAGCAGTGGTGAGATGCACTGATGAGTTCATTGGTATATTTATTATTATACTAGTGGGAAAGCAGGATGAGGGGAGAAAAAAGGAAGCAAAGACAGTGAGTGTACAGGTTCTTCTTAAAGAGAAAAGCAATGATGTCTGCTCAGGTCATTATTGCTTCCAAAACATTACAGTATTCTGGGATCATGACAACAGAAGTTGAGCAACACAGGATTTAGATAATCCTAGATTCAGAATCAGAGAGCTAGAGGAGATTTTAAGAAGTCATCCAATTTATCTCCACATCTCTAAGAAAAATCAGCTTCTGCTGCATCAYTTCTCAGTGCCTTGCCTATTCTTAAAAATCCTTCTTTAAGCAGATGCTGGACAACAAAACCACTTAKTTTTGTCCTTGTCACTAGAAAACTCTTGCTAATGCTTAAGCAGAATATATTTCAAATGTTTGTTATGCATCTAGCCATTATTAAAACAGATAATAGACACTTCTCCCTAGATAATCACTTCTGCATATATTCTGTAATAATAATACATGTATTCTGTAATAATAATAATAATACTAATAGTAAAAAAACTCTTWTCTCAGGCAAAGTGCAGGAAAGCTTTTCCCCCTTCAGTTATAAAAGAAGAAATACAAACAAATAAAATTGAACAAAGGGCATTTTGACTGAATAAGAAGGCAAAATGAAGGGGTAGAAGAGGATGGATCTGAACACCTTCATAAAGATACTGAAACAGGAGATTTTATACCACAATGTATTTAGTGTACAATCAGAGGTCTTGAGAAGCAGGAACTGATMTGTAGGTCTCAGCTCCAGCTGATAATCTAGAGCAACTCAGAGTTTCCTGCTCTTCTGCTTTTAACCGTCTTTCTGTACTTGTATTATCTACACCTCAACTCATTCAGGAAGCTGACACTAACATTTACTGACCAAAAACCTAATTATATATACATTAATATACATATAAAGGTAAAATATTATAGTAAGGAAATTTTTGAGTTAAACTAATGCCAAAGTGGTATTCCTTACTTTAAGATACAGTGTTTTTRTCACCCATTGTATCTTTGGCTGGATCCAATAATAAATATAACGTGTGTGTGTGTATATATACATATATATATATATAGATATATGAGCATATATATTAAATTACTTTTAATAGGAATGTAGAGAATTCAGAGAATGCTTCATTTCTCTATCAAGACCTGGATATGTAATCAATCAAAATCAAACAGTAYAGTATAATAGTATCAACAAAGTAATATTATAATAATAAAATACAATAATAGATACAATATAATAGTGTCATATAATACAAAAATATAGGTTTGAAAATAAATAATATATTAATTGTAAGTACATAGGCAGCCAAAAGTAATGATAGAAGAACCTTGCTCTTAGGAAATCTGTAATTACAAGGTCCTCACTTTACATTGTTACTGAAACATTTGGTAGGAATACTTTAAGTCATCTGGGGAAGGGCAGCAAACAAAAGCAAGGAGGTACAGGTGAGATTAAATCTCAAATWCAGTTATCTAAGAAGGAATATGGCATCTTCAGAAGACTGTTGAAATCTTTGGACAAAGGCTGCTATGAGACTATCGGAGGAGTCAAACACTCATGGGACCTTGGTGCTGCCAAAGCAAGGACTGCCAAAGAAAATAATGAAAAGTGGTCCTGCAGCTATTTGCTAAGGATGTCCATTAAGTTTCCTTAGGTATCAATCAATAAATGACAGCTCCTACCTAAATTTCTAGAGATATCTTAAAGTGCACATTGTCCACTGCTCCCTCTACTTGGTAACAGCTGTCTCTCACTATTATCTCACCTCACAGCCTCCTTTGATATGACCTTTGATACTATCTACTAACACAAGCCATCACATTATCTACTGCCTACTAACACATTAACACCATGATTTTTATTACAAATAATTGCAATGAACTTTTCAATATTCTGGTCTCTGTCATCAGCAAGAGAAGGACTTCCTGCTCAGAGAAATACTTGTTTTGGTGATCAAAGAAATAAAGCAAAAACGTAGACATCAGGTCTCTGAAAATCTTTCTACCATYTAAAAATGCTAGTGTTTTGAAAGCTGTGTAATATATTGATTCCAGAGACACACATTTCGGACTGCAGCAGTTTATTATCTCYTCTTTGCCATTACTGCTGAATGATGTCTCCCAAGCTGCTGCACATATAAAAAAATACGTGTTTCACTTTAAAAATGTTTTATCTTCATGTTTAAATTTTASCTCTCTCATGGGAAACCATATATAATAAGAGATTTCTTCAAACTTCACAGCCAGAGAAAATGTTAAGCTTGAGTCTTTTACCACACACTGCATTACAAAGAGCATTTTATAAAGATCAAGCTCAAACAAAAATCCATATTCTTTGTCTCTAACTGTATTTTGTAAATGTCAATCCAGCTTCTTTTCCTTCCAGTTTATATTTAGGTGCTGCAAATCAAATTCGAAGGGAAAATGTCTGAATGTCTGAAGAGCACCAGAATTCTTTTTTTTTTTTTTTTTTTTTTTTTTTCTAAACAGAGATGCAGTGAGATTTTATTTACTGTGTACATGTGAAGCCTGAGAGAAGGGAACCCATGCTTACGTATTTTTCTCACTTGACACAGACACAAGGAAACACCATACCTGACTCAAATAAAAGCTGATTAAATGAAAAATTACTTACAAAAGAAAAAAGACAGAAGCAAGTCAGAAAGCTACCTTCTTACGACATCTTCTCCATTCCAACACGGGAGTCCATCAGCAGCTGCCAACTCATTCCCGCACAGTTGATCCGCCAGACCGCTGTAAAATGCCCTGTAGAGCCGAAGGTGGCTGATAAATTCCCTGCACACAAGAAATAATTATCAGGGTCAACCACCACCACTAAGCCATCTTGCTGAAGGAATRCATTTGTTCCATCACTCTCCATTGGTTCCAGTGATATTTTAAATCAATTTGTCAATAGGTGARTTTAATTCTTTTAAATACTCTTCATCAGTTTATAAAGTTGATATTCATACTGGTCAAACTTTTTTAAAAACCCTTACTTTACATGTACTATTTTTCTTCAACCTGAATTTTTTTTTTGCATACTGGTGATACAGTTTGCAATGCTACAGTTGGACAAATAAATGAAAAAATGTTCCAAAAAAAACCCTCCACAGCATATGAACAAGTCACCTGTTTCTCCAAAGTGCTATCAACAAGTCCCCTACATATCATTACAAACACTACAAGGAGTACTTGTTAAAGTGATTCAGCCACTGAARATTTAGGTAAAATGGATTTAAAATGTTAAATATTTAGTAAAGATTTAAACAATGCCTGGAAGATTATATCAGTTCTACCATGTGCTGTGCTGGTAGGTTATAAATTATGTAGTGTTATTTTAAATAATTGTCAAGATGCCCAGAGCTAATGATAAGCTTTTGTACTTAATTCAGAATGAATGAATTATTTTTTAGTTGGTATGTTCTTAACAGAGTTGTGATATTTAATATAAATTGTTTATTTATGTATTGAAAATCTCTTCCTGGGAGACCCCTTCCTACTGTGAAAAATTAAAATACTTATTCATTCTGGAATGGAACATGACACATYACTGAGTTATCTATAACCTGCAGGCACACAGAAAGCGCCACCAAATGCTGTACTCATTGCTCTGTCAACCAGAAAGCTTCACTTTATGTTAACTTCTTGTATAGTGTCTGGAGTTAGGAAAAGAAGCCAGAAATAATATACACATTTGCCTATATTTAGTTACCACMGGCCTAAAATGCTATAAGGAATTTAATTGTTAAGTATTGCTTACTTCAAATTAAAACAGGTAAAATACTAGTGATTATATACAGTCCATCTTTAAAAAAGCCACATGTTCTTTCATGTAATGGGGCAAATATTTTACGCAAACCACAGTTGTTTCAATTTACTAKGCCTATTAAATTTGATGTGAGTGCCCTACTAATCCTAAAACTGCAGTTGTGAAAAATCTCATGTAAGGTCAATTTTGACTATGCATCATATAATTGCTCATGTGCATTAGGTTTTAAATATGATTCATCCACACTCTCCTYGCCATAAGAAGTCATATCTTTTATTTCTCCATACCCAAAATTGAATCCAATGTGCAACAGTCGGTTTGCAATTTCCCTCCAAACCCCATTGAGTAGGATTGATTTTGATTTAGTCTATGCTTTATGTTTATAYTATGGATGAAAAATAGTGTTACAGAGTCCTCTCAAAGAGAACAGTTGGAATTTCTTTTGAAGAAGAAATATAAATAAATAAATATAGCTGTCATAATATCTTGTCAGAAATTGCATTCTAACAGAAAGGTCACTCAGTTTATTAGTAAATACATCCTGAGGCAAAGTGAAATTTAATAGAGAAGTAATAACTGATTTCAGCCCCGTTGATGTCTGACCAAAGTAGTTAGAAGGGCAGATGGTATGAATGTCAATTTTCACATGATCATCCTCTAGACCAGATAGCATGTAATTATAAGGCAGCAGAGCAGAAATGTAAAATTACAGTCAGTGGAAGCTGAAGATACTTTTTATYTGTTTATTCAGATTTTTTTTTTCTTTTTTACAATTTCATTCTCTGTACTAAAAGCTGTGTGCAGTATGAAGTTCAGGAGGAAAAAGCATCACATACTTTAAAATTTGTATGTTGYTATGGAAGGGTCTGCTCAAATTTTTTAAAATTCATCTAACAATTTTTTGGCATCAAGAGAACAAAGAMATTTTTTTCCTTGTACCACATATTACCAGAAAATATAAGCGTCAGTCTGATRGTAAAAGGGATTCAGGAAAAGTTTAGACAGCGGCAGCCCACCATGTACTTTAAAAAGTAAACTTTCATCTGGAAATGCATTTGGAAAACAGAAGTACTATAAAAGGTAAATAAGGTAGAGTTAGAGAAGAGCACTTCTTCAAAAGCAGGCTGCAGTCACACTTCCACAAGAGGTTCTTACAGTTGCTATGGGAATATAAAGTGAAATGTAAAGTGATTGTGACTAATATGGAAGGAGGTGATCCAGGAGGTAGCAGCTGCAGAGGATATCAACTATGAAGTTGTTAAACTGAAACCTGCGTCAGTGGATCTCAAACTTTCTTTCCCTTCCCCCTTTTTGGTGCAGAGTTTGCATGCCATGAAGTGTCTCCAGAATCTCAGGCAGGGGAGAGGGAAGGAAAAAGAAAATTCTGCTTTTTGTTGCCCACTGCCTCTCATGCCCCTTAAGACGATGCAGTCTCCCTGAAGCCAATCCAATGTCCCCTACTTTGAAATATGAAACAGTCTTGGTTTGAGATTTTAGAATATGGTATTGTGTTTGGAGAGTGTTAGCCATCAGAAAACATCAAGAACTTGCTTAGCTACATGTAACTGAGAAACATGCACCCATGTAATGGGTATTCTCTGAAGAACAACTGTGCTGGCTAAAGCAAACTTCTGGTTTGCATATCKTTCTGTTCCCACAATGTTTTCAAAAACCTCTATTTGTATTTTGGGTTGGTTTTTTCCTCTCCACTATTTAGTACTTGAAGGTCYTTACACTGAGAAGAATGGTCTGCCTTTGAAGCCCAAAGGCACTTTTTCTTCTCCAGACATCAGGAGTGTGCAACTATTCTCTGCAATTCTCTCACTTCTGTTTCCTTCTGCACTACAAAGTAAAATGAGAGGAAAAAGAGGACAAAGAGAACTTCCCTGTATTTTAGCAAACACTATGAAAGAAATGAAATTTCTGATTTTAACTTTGTAATTTATTTGCATAATGGAGAGCCTTTAGTCTTAACCGCAACACTGCTAATGYCTTATAGTGCTGTTACTACTTACAGTCATTAAAGACCTGATTAACTTGTCTAAATATAGACTGGCCTTTGAGATTCCTTCAGCTACCTAAAATATCTAAAATATCCAGCAGAATATCTAAATCTAATATCTGAAATATCCAGCAGAAAGCTGGAAACCATCAGAGAATCACAGAATCACAGAATCACAGAATGAGATGAGCTGGAAGGGACTCACAAGGATTATTGAGTCCAACTCTTAGGCCTGTATAGGACTATCCCCAAGCATCTCACCATGTGCCTGAGTATTAACAAAACGCTTCTTGAATTCTGTCAGGCTTGAACTCTATGATACAACTTGTAGGACACCTGCATCCTTCTTGGCGGGAGAAGATCAGCTGAGATAGCTCAGGGTATCCTCGAGTGGCACTGGATGCTTGCAGATGTGTGGGCAGCTAAAATGAGTTCTCCTTTCTACAGACTGTAATGGCAGCCCAACTCAMACACTTGCGCTCACCCTGAAATGCTGAGCCAGGTTTAAATGAAATCTCCAAACCTCGGAAGTCACTTCAATTCACTATATACTGACAAAAGAGCCAGAGAGAAAAAAATCAGCTTGAGCAAGGCTTTCAAGATTCAGTCCCAAATGCTTAGTTTTCTCATTTTTTTACAGTAGAAAGGTATGTAAGAAAAGTCATTCAATTTTTTCTATCAGCTTGTACAAGTAGCCTTCTGTAAAAAGCTGCAGTCACTTTTTGTCAGATTCAGTAATGTCTGCTGATAAGTACAGTTAAATGTAATCTGAAAAATTACACATAGAGCTAACACTCATATTCTAATCATAGATTAAACCACACCAAATGACTCTGGTCATACGTCCATTATTTCTGAAATAGTAGTAGTCATGAAACTACTCTTTCCAAAATGTAACGAAGAAGATGGTGTTGCTAAAATGTTTCATTCTTTGGAGACTTTATTCTCTTATAATGCATGCCACTGCACTGAGCATAATCTACTCAGCTGTAAAATTTATGGCTTACTTTATGCTTTCTTTCTGGCTGTAAAACTAATGTCTTACTTTCTTCTGCTGGCAAGTGTTTCTTCCCTATCTCTGGAGAACATCTTCAACCCTTGATTATCTTTGTTCTGATCAAAGGAGCAACCTGGAGACTCTTTAGGCTTCCTTACAGGAGGACCACATATCTTATTCACCTAAAAGGAAAAACATCCACAAGAAGGAGAGAACACATGTAAGCAACAATTGTGACGCATCTCTCAATTCAGTTTCAATACATTTTAATAAGAAAGAAAGATCTTTAGACTAAGCTAAGAAAAGCATAATTAATTATCATACTTTACAAGACTGYATCAATAATGAATGCAGCAAACACATAATTAGTCATTTTACAGTAAAAAAAATAATACGAGCATTCCTTTTTAAGGGATACCAAGTGTATAGCAAAGTTACCCTGTATTTTATTGATCATGGCTTTTTTTCCCATAAGGGAAGTATATTATTATGCAGACAATATCAGTAAACTCAGAGAGTATGATGTGCTCTGAACAGCAGAATATTTCCATTTTTTCTGTAATATATCCCAATCATGCTTTTAATATGCATTGAACTTTGTGCTTTCTTTCAGAGTTGATGAATTTTCACAGCATGTCCAGTCCAGCTACACAAAGCATATAGTGAACAGTTTGCATGGTGAAAAGTTGCATTACAACATTGCAAGATGTCAAGGTAATGACCCAAGATGTAAGTTCAATGACTTTGGACCTCAGATGCTGAAAATATCAAGGAATTTTATGTCTGGCATTCTGATCTAGATGGTAATAGATAAAAATTAATGTGAACTCTTATTTTCGTCTTTGTAAAATGTGACACTGAGCATTTTGTATGACAGAGGATATCAACTCACATTCATAGTTCATTACTCTTCCTAGTCACTGAATAAAAATAATTAGGGCTATATATATTTATTAAATAAGAGATCGTTATGCTTGTAATTACATCTGACAAATATATTAAGCAGACTGAAAAACATGCATTTATGTAAGCTAGCCCTGGTGAAAAATGAATACTGTATGTGATTTATGAAAACTTGGTAGTCAGCAGGTAGTCAACTTTTACAGAGAAAAAGGGAGAGAGGCAATCAATGTGGCCTCTAAGAGAGGGATCCAGTTTTGAAGTAGAAACACATCCAAAATGCTTCCATGCAAAGGAAGGAGCGTGCATGCCACTACATAGGATTGTTTCCTATTGCATTTTATATTCCCACATGTAAGAACACACACAGTGAATAAATCTCATTTTCAAGTTATCATCATGYATTAGAGTAGTGCAAGTCTTAGGGACCATCCTTCCAACTAAGAATTGCTGTAGAGCTAGTTAATAAATACATTTAAAATTTAAAATAGAATAAACACATCTAATTGTGATGGGTTTGCTGTCATGCATGGTGAAAGTGGCGATAATGTGAAGACTCATTGAATGCACTTGCTTWGGCCAGTGAAAAGAAGAAAGAATCAGCATTATTACTACACATGAATGAGCGTTCACATTATGATTTGAAAGTGAGGGTAAAGTTGAAAGTGAGTAGTCATTTTAGCCGGTGGTTCACATGCCACAATTCAGGAAGGYGAGTTAAAGTTTAAAACCCTTTAAATTACATGCATGAATTTACCTGCAAGACAGTTGTCTCTGGACATATGACTTATGTCCTTTAAGGGATTACACTTGGAACATCACTTGAAGTATTCATTTCACCATTTCCTATTACAGGCAGTGTCTCTTTGGATAGCATTCTTGTACTCAAATTCAGTTTCAAGCCTCCCTCACACCTTTTCCCCYTACCTCTTCTTTAGAACACATTTAAGCACAATCCACCAGCTTACTCCCATTTTGCCCCATAAATCTCTACACTTTTTCTAGGCTTCATGCATCCTTATGCATGTTTGCTCTTTCAGTGCCAGCCTCTGAAGCAGCTTATCCCATCAGCCACTCCATGCCAATATAATGGAGATCTACCAGAGACACAGAATATTTTTGTCCTTTAACTTGTGCCACTTTTATAATATTCTTTTACACACACTGATATGACATGGGGAGCATTATGATTATGATCAGCTTTTATGAAAAGCAACTGATTSACTGAGTTGCCTCAGTTCCAGCTTGTCATGTACTTTTCAACTACTTTTTGTCTTACCAAGAATAAAACTAAGAGTTTAACACAAAGTGAGAGTCAGATCCAGTTCTTTGTGAAGGATACATGGGTCAGGTATGTAGGCTGTTGTAGGTCTTAGGTGTCTTGCATATCTGAACAATACTAGGAAATTTGCATTCACTGATACATGTAAATACAAATCTAAGTTTCAAATTYATAATCTTTCTTAAAAATTAAAACCTTTATGCAACTTCATAAACTTTTGAAAACTTTATATATATAAAAAATAAAATTAAAAGCCAGTAAGTATCTTAAATATCTTTTTATTAACTGATTTTTTCTCCAGTGTCGCAAAATTCTGAAAATTCTAAAAAAAAAAAAGCATTTGCACAGCACCACATACACCTTTGCCATTCTGACAAAGCTATGCATGACAGTAATCACACTGATGAAAACTCAGTTCTGKTCATGAGAGCAGCAGCACAAAATTAGCTCTTCAGCCGTCTCTTGCTTATTCAGACATAGTTTCTGAAGGATGAGTTATTTCAGCATTTACAATGATGATGTCAGCATCTCTGTTACCTTTCTCATATCTCTGATATTTAAACCTCTGGGRCCACTGTCTTTGTGTGGTGTTGGTTCTTCTTTCTGTGTTATATACATCACGCTCATAGTGCGCACCCAGTTGAACCCAACCTGGGCTTTTTTAAACTGTCCAGTAGTGCCTGTCACTTGTATGTCATCATGTGCATGACAAATTTACTTTTGCCTCCCTCACTAGACCAGTCTTCATTATCATGGGGTTTCTTCAGTAAACTTGTGCACATGAAAAGGTCACATACTCTTATCTTGCTTTTAGGTGTCTGTTCTGTTTGTAAGCCAATTAATTTATAATCAAAATATGCCAGTATCTCATTTCCCAGTAAAGGACCGATGATAGTCTAAAATACAGATACATACAGTTTCCATAATTATGTCTGCTTTTTATTTAYTTTTTTAATGCATACTTTATATCTACAGGAAGAAGTACATGTGGTAAGTGTAACACCACCTAGTTAGATTTCCTGTGATTTCTGAAGTACTGTAACTATATATATTAGCTACATTCTCTTTTAAGTTTTAGACTTTGGGCCACAAAATTTCCCTTCCAAGTGAAAAATCATTCAGTCCTAATCTTGAGAAGCTGGAATCATAACTTTGAGAGAAGGGCAATGCAGCAATGAACTAATAAATGACCATTTTACAGCAATATCTGATAAGAATGTATTCTTACCATCTTCCATTTTCACCTGAATGGGACTCCTTCTGAGCATTTTTTTTTTTTTGCTTCAAAAACAGAAGAATCTCCAAAATGATCCCCAAAGGGAATTAAAAATAGAAAAGTGAAACTGAAAAATCATTAGAAATATATTTCAGTGAGATACGTCTCATTTAATTTCAGGAAGAATTAAAGATTTCTACAAAATTTTAAAACAGGCAAACCTCAGGAACTTGCTAGGATTTTTTCTTTTTTTCTCTCTCTCTCTCTCTCTCTTTCTTTCTTTCTTTTTTCTTTTTTTCTTTTTTTTGTTTTTTGTAATGTTCTTAAATACCACACAATATTTAAGGGCATGAAAGAAACCTCAGAAAATTATAAAACTCCTGATTTTCACAGTTCAGACAAACCTATTGTCATTATAGTCAGCATGCTGCTATTATGCACAATTTGTATGCCACAGTATGATGACTGAGTTAATTAAAAGCTCTTGTAATAACCACGCAGTTAAATTGCAATTAGTGCCACACATGAATTTTATGGCAGTTTGATTTTGCTTGGTGTGATTCCTTAGAAAGTCTACTTAAGATTACTTACAGTTTGGAAWACTGGAGTATTGTAAGCCTTTAGATTCAAATAGGATTGCACTTTAATGGTTGGACACTGTCCTCTAATTCACATGCTCAATATGAGAAATCTGTCACATTCTATGTTTTGGTTTTGGTTTGTGGCTTTTGCTTTTTTCSTCCCACTACAGAAATGGTTCTTTCTGACCTCAGCATTTCTGCTGAAATTATTTTACAGCAAACGACTGAAGCAAACTGAGTGCACAGTCATGTGCTATGTTAGCACTATGAAGTGCTAACTTCAGACTAGATTTACCAAGTCTGTGTAGATTCAAGTTTAAATGCCTGCACGGACTATGGCAACACTGAAGCCTTACAGGTCTGAGAGACTGGATCCATCTAATGAACCCTTGACACATACCCTAATTAAAAGAAACCCTAGAGATATATACATATATGTAWCAAAAATTCTCGGGGCTTGCTAAAYTTACCAGAATAAACATGAAAGAGTTAAAACTTAAAGGAAAGGTCAATTTTCAGGCTCCTGCTTCTGGTTCCCAGCTAGATCTGAGTAAAAGCCAASAGGTTTTGTATCCAGAGAGACGTCTTCTCCCCTGTTCCCATATGCACAGCRCAGTCTCAGTGAGTAGCTGTGCCATAATCTGATTGTTTTAATGCACATTTTGGTTAGTGATCAATCTGGTGGCTTTCAGTTCTAGCTGTCAGATTAGAAATCTTTCACTTTCCTTACAGTTAAAGTCCCCTCAAACACTTGTGAGCAACCAGAGAGATGAAACCTTATAACTCTAAAACAAAGCTAGAATTAAATATCAGATTGGTTAGAAATATATTTGTAACAAATATAATTGTGGTTTATTTTTTTTTCTAGAAATACACAAGTGAATGCTTTCTTTTAGAAACAGATTCTTGATGAGTCACCAGCATTTCCAGGACCAGATTACTAATCAAAGTAGCAAAGATATCGATCAAGTAAAACAATGCATTAAACTGTTACAAAGTTTCCTTGGTTTGTTTTATTTCAGATAAACCACAAGAGGGAGCATCAACATTTCAGTATTCCCAAGCACTTCAGCAGCCTTCTATYGGTATGGRTTTTTTGTTTGKTTTTTTTCCCTTGAACAGTTGCTCATTTAATGTCAAACTTCTGTTTCAAAGAAAAATGCATTTTGATATAAGAGAGGGTGTACATGGCATGGGAGATTA